TGATGGAAGTATTTCGGATTGTGTGTGAAAACTCCACACTGTACCCTAGAAGTGCATTAATGTAATAGCTACCATTCAATAAAAAAAAAAAAAAAGACTTTGAGGTTGCTGTGAGCTGTGACATCATAGCACTCTACCAAGGGCGACAAAGGGAGACTCTGTCTCAAAAAAGAAAGGGGGGCACCTGTGGCTCAAGGAGTAGGGCAACAGCCCGATATACTGGAGATGGGGTGGTTCAAACCCAGCCCTGGCCAAAAAACTGAAAAGCAAAAGAAAAAAAACTGCAAAGGAAAAGAAAAAAGAATTTTTTTTTAGATAAAGTCTCATTCTCTCACCTGGGCTACAGTGCAATGGCGTCATCATAGCACCATAAAATCTACAGATGCCAACAGATGGAGTTCCCCCAATGAAAGCAAGCACCAGATATAGGCTTTGCTGAAAATTTTGTTTTGTTTTAAGTTCGATGGGAAGTCTCTGAAAGTTTTAAAGCTGGAGAATGGTTATTTCCTCTGTGGGGAAAACAAACAATCCAAGGGGGAAAAAATCTACAGATGCTAACAGTTGAAGTTCCCCAATGAAAGGTGGCAGCCTCAAACTCTTGGACCCAAATGACTCTCCTGCCTCAGCCTTCCAAGTAGCTGGGACCACAGGCACGTGCCACCATGTCAGGCAATATATGAAAATTTGACTAGTTTCAGGAACAAAATAAGGAAATGATAGGATGATGTGTGAATCAGCATGGATGATTTGGGTAGCAAGTAGCAGAAAAGTAAACCCAACTGGTTTAAACAAGAAGAAGTACATTGTGTAAAATAAGAAATCCCAGGGTAGGGCAGGTCCAGGTTGGTTGATTCAGTGGCTCACCAAGCTCATTAGTGATGTAGGCTATTTCTGTCTTTCAGTTCTACCATCTTCAAGTGTTTACTTTGATCCTCATGCTTGTCCCTTCAAGGTCACAAGATGGCTGCAGAAGGTGCAAGCTTAATGTTCTTATACAACAATAACCAAA